TTTACTCTGGGTGTTCTAAAAAATAATCCTTTTGGGTGTCCTTTCCTTTCAGGTAACCGCAGCTTCAAAGTTTCTGACTTTACAGGAGTCAGTAAGATGCTGCCGATCTCTATTTATCATTTAAGCATATTCCTCTTGTTTTCCTTTGCGACACGGCTTGTGGGTTTGTCAGGCACTTAGAGTGCCGGGTCAGTAAAGAAATGACCGAACAGCTATGGAAAGATAACAGAGGGTGTTTTGAGGTACCATCGTTGGATAAACCACCATCAAAGGTATCGTTTACGAAAAATCTACATATTACTGGTGTATTGTGCACGTTCATTGCCCTGCAACATTTTTATTCAGTCAAGGCTAACTTAAGATATGACTTAAAAACAGTTTAGAATATTCTGAAAACCCATAAAATGGAACAAATAAATTATTAATTTTGTCGTCATGACACTTCTAGGAAATGAGTGTCCCTATGCTGACAACAGCAGAATACAGAAAAAGCGACAGTGATATGATACAGGTGGAGGATGGTAGCATGATTCATCCATTGACAGGCACATCCAGGAGATATGTTTTAGGTGACAGATTTCACACAGCAAGCAATCCTCACAAGTCACCCCTTTGTGAATATCACAACATAAATCTTTTGTCTCAGTCGAACACGATAAAAACAAGCTATCAAGAGTCCGAAAACAACCGAAAGAATGTGCGACGGTTACGAAGCTCGACGATGCAAAATTTCTCCACGCACTATTTTTATAACTTTTTGATGGATTTCTATCAAAATGAGGAAATAGTAAAAAAGCAACACGACGTAGCTTCGAGACAGCTAAAACCTGGGCAGATGTTATGCAGGAATTCATATATGCAATTTGTGATAAAAGATGGTGAAAAATAAGCATTACGGTTATTACTCATCGCGCGCTTGTTGTTTACGTTGGGTAGGTGGAGCTCATCAGTCTTGGAAGACAGTCCACCTAGGAGAAGGAAAACTCTGATTTAAAACCCCCGGACTCGTGCAATGAATGGGTCAGGCTGTCCATGTCGGATTCATTGATGCTGCTAATAATTATTGCAATACTTAATGTTTCCTAGGCATGCTGACGAGCCCTGAGATAGAGCGAAACAGCCATTATACACGTATTGTTATACGTAGTATTATTTATTGGATCTAGTTTTCATAACTTTTCATATCTTTAGCAAGCAACTGGACGGTTTATTCGTTCTTTAATGTTTTCAATTAAATTATTTTCTAGATTTCTGTTTGCAGAAGTCGCACAGCCTATAATGAAAAAAACAACTTGTTTGAACGTCAATCATATTTATAGGACGTTGAAGTATTAACATTACTGTAAATGTATTGACTTACCACTTTCCTTTAGGTACTCTTTCAATTCCTAGGCACTCCTGATGGTAGTAGCCTTTACCTGGACACTATAGCTATGGTTGAAAAATAAACAGTTTTTGACCGACATTCAGTTTTAAGGAAACTATTAGTGGGATACGAGTTGTAATATCGTTTATTTTACAGATAGTGGAATGAACATAGAAACCTCAACCAGACAACATAAGATTGCTTTTATAAATTTCTCGTACATAAGGTTCTCGGACAAGAAACTCTCGGTACTGAGAAAATATATGCGCGCTTAACTGTTTTACTGCATTTGAGCACGATGCAAAATCGAATCTAGTCTTTATGTACTATTTTATACATACGTTCTTTTTGTTTGTGGTTTCACATATCAGCATCATGTCCTCCGATTCTTTATCTCTTTCCTGGAATGATTATGGTATATACATCATTGTATATACATTGTATATACATCGTGCAACTTGCTCTTAATTCAGAACTGCGTGACACAAAGTTCAGAAGTTCTAGCCGGTAAGAGAACTTAGGGGGAAAACAAATGTAAATAAACTGATCAATGATGATGTATTTTCCTTTAATGCTGGTATCATGCATGAATAAAAAGGACTTAGACTGGAATTGCACTGGTCCAATATGAATTCGGGGACACGCAAGTTTCCCGTCCGAAAGTTACCGTCTCGTCCAAACAGTGGGAAAATTATGCTGATATTGAAAAATTGTATAAGTACGTCAAAACTAGTTGTATGATTTACCTCTTTGCATGAACACCATTTGTATACTTTAATTTTACCGGAATTCGGAGGACATGATAATCCACTCGTCCCAGCAATTGTCCCAACACTTTTATTATCAGATCGTGTAGAGCCTATATGTGATTTAAAAAAAGAAAATATGCTCATTAAAATGTTGATGCAAAAAGTGCATGGATTTGGACAGACACACTTGTTAATCAGAATTTCTTTTACTTACTCCGAGGAAGAACGCCAATAGCGCCTTCTGCAAATAATCGCTTTCTGGTGTGCGATTCACCTGTAATTAGTTAAAAGGCATAGACATATTTATGTTATATATATATATATATATATATATATATATATATATTATATATACAGTAATTTATATAATCGTACTTGCAAACCACACAAGACACATCGTATATCGTTTACCTCTTGCAGGCATTTCATTTCCTTGCTCGCAGACGTTTTGATCGCCAGTTGCTATTGGGGTTGAATCAGGAATTTTGTCTTGGGAAGTTCTCACGTCTGTTGTATTGTGATCTAAGATAATTGGAAAGAGCAAAATAACGTAAATGAATTGTATGCCGGGCAGCAACAGGTATTGCATTGAGTCAGGTGCACGCAACTGTAGTAACGAGCATAAATATTCTCATGCAAGCTGAATAAGTCAAATAAAACGAACCTATTTCGGGTCTCTTTATTATTTTTTGCGCGACTTCAATGGCCTGTAAATTAATAACAGAAAAATTTGTAACGCTTAAAACTTTATAACATCGTTAAAAAAACATTAAAAAAACTACAAAAGCATCAAAACTCGTTAGTAATTCGTTTTGATAATTTAATATGACATACCCAAGCAAATGTTTTCCTTTTCCTTGGAGTCAGGTTGTTATATCTAGCCTTTGTGTTCGGTGTAAGTTTCTATTTGAGTAGTCAAGGATACACCGTGAAACACAGATTAGACAAGTCGTTAAACTGCTTATACAATCTCCTAACTGAGTAAGCCTGCATACCTCTGTAAAACTGAAGTCGAGCTCCTCTTCACTTTCGGTAGGTTCAGTTGTATTTTCGCGATATTGCATGACTTGACTATTTTTAGATGCTATACAAATGTGTTATTAAAGGTTTCAAAACATTTAATATGCTGATGAAATACTCAAATAGTAATCCTCATCTGATTCTGTTATTTCTGTATACCTTCTAACTTTATCCTCAACTCGTTTTCGAGAGTGTCCAAGCTTTCGCAACCTTCGTCCGATATTGTTGTTGCTGGATTGTTGATTTCTTCCATATCACTCTCATTGGGGGCATCATCCCGAATTCCACTGGCTAATGAGTATTGTTAGAACAACGATTACATTCATGATACAAAACAAGCCTAAACTTCGAACCAGAAAGAATTGCATAGAAACTTTATTTAAAACTTTCTACGCTAAACCATACGCTATCATATGTTGCGTGAATGGCATCAGTTTCCCCAGAGGAATTCGGTACGCTCTTTTCTGGCAAACGTGTTTCCTTTTAATCATTTGCTCCAAGGTGCATTCCCTGTCTTTTCCGAAGTATATCCCTATTGTCCCGGGCTCCCGTACAAGCGTACTTTGCAATTCTTTGAATTCCTATTAAAACAACAAACTTTTGTGAAATGCAGTCACAAGACCGCGTTAGACTCCAACACTGTACGTGTTACTCACTGTATGTGAAATATCGACAAAACTGTCGACAGCAGTTGACAGTAGCGCAATGCCTGGAACCTTCATCCCTTCGATGTTCTTGACAGTAACTTTAGGGTGCAGCCATGTAAGAATCTTAAAAGAGATCAGCAAAATCTGTGAATGTTATATCCAAGGAAATCGAACACTGTGTATATGGCGCCATTTAATACTTTATTTCGTTCGGAATTTTTTTTATGTAAATAGAAAATGAAAGAAAACAAACCGGGTCTTTTTCCTCGGCTATCTTTTCAATGATGTTAGCTTCTAGCCTTTGCATTGTTGAACGTATACTGACTGTCTGCACCTTTAATAACTCGCCGCATGCAAACAATACGTAATCTTTGGTGTTCGCTTGGTTACCACACGAGAGACGTAACTAAAATGAGAAATATAAGTCATGTAAAAATGAACTCTATTATTGAAAACTAGTCCGATCTATTTTTTGCGAGTTATTTGAGTTTCACATACCAGAGCATTTGCGACAAGTACCGCGGCAATACCAGACAACCACCTTGCCTGCACTTTCAGGTCGTTTTCATCGAAGATCGCTTGGACGACCTGACCTCTTCGACAATTTCACGCGCATGTTCAAAAACCTCAGCCCATAACTCCAGGTATTTAATTGCCCAGACAAGCAAAATACCCTATATAACAATGACATATATTGGTCATGGATTTTGAAGGTATAGTAGCCTAAAATAACTTATGGTTAAGTTTAAGTACACGACGTTTACATTTCCATAGACTAAAATATACCTTGTTTTCTTGCATGAACTCTCGCATAACCTTCAGTTGCTTGTCGTCAAACTTGGCTTGTTCATTCCGTTCCTCGTTCCAGCCGACGTAATTAAACCTAATAACTCTCCCTACTAATCTACAATGAAACAGATTTCGAAGGCTAAATGTTAATAACGTAATTTCAGTTTAAGAATTAAAAGACAATTCATTAATTATTGCATAAGTGTACTACCGGGAAACTTCGGGAGAATTCGTCGATATTAACGTGGCGGCCTTGATGGATGTCATCCCCTCCTTATTTGATCCAGACATCAGTCGCCCTTGTGCTTGCAGCAGAAACTCGCTGAAGTTAACATTGGGTTTAGGGTCATCAATCATTATGACCCCAGTCGTTCTCGATGCTATCTCTTGCATTTTCTTTCTATTAAAAATAATTGAAGTCTGCTTTTCAAACATTTGCGAAAAAATGTTTTTATACAACAACGTATAATTTTAACGTGAAACTCACGTAGATGTCCCACATGTCTGGGAGTCTCCACCACTTAGTAACATTACGTGCGATCGATTGGGAATTCCAACACCCCGAGCAAGGAGATTTAGACTCTCCGATTTCCCTATGCTCCTTTCTTCGGAGAATATCATGCCAATAGAACTCTCTCCTAAATGACGAAGACGTTAAAAACAAAGGTAACTATGAGAAAAGAAATTGCAACATGGTAATACTTTCTATGGTAGTACTGTACAGTGAAGTTATTTACGTCTTTCACTTTCCGCGATTGAGCTACCTGTTCATTCAAACAGTAACTTACCCCAAACATCTTCAGGATTGAGAGCATTCCTCAGCAACCGAGCCACAGTGAATGCTGTTGCCAGCAAAAATGAGTCCATATTAGGGCCCAAGCATTGCGAAAGTAGTATGAACCTTAGAAAAAAATGAATATATAATTAAAAAATTATTTGGTATAATCGTTTATGTAGTCCAAGTGACACTTAAGTTTCGTAGCCCAAAAACACCGCATTTTTACCTTGCAACAGAACGATTCAACTTTGCGTAATGGTTCAGTAAGCTTTCGTTAATTTGCAATTGGTGGTTTTTTAAAGACTTGTCCAATATTAGATACTTATGATCAATTGGATCTAACACTTTACCATTCTCAATATGCACCTGTAATAATTGAAATTGAATAATTAAATAAACTAATAAAGAGAACGTTCCCAGGGGCTAAACAAAATGCTTTCAGTTGGAGAAGGGATATAAACTAAACGCGAACTTTAGAAATCAACAGATCTCAATATTCTAGTTTTGGTTGTTTCGTTTTAGAATAGTTATGTTTTTCTTTCAAATGCACAACTAGGTAAATATCTATACAAGCGTAATACAACACACATCATTGGAAATAATCCAGTAGTTATTCCCTTGGTATCCCATGAAACGCGTTTCATGGAAAACCCTTTTGTTCTCCTGTTGGGAGAAGTCTTCTTTCAGGTAGCAGGCGTACGAATGAACGATAGCTGACGTCATGTGAGGCCCCAATAAGAACGTTCCTTCTCCATAAGCAGCTCTTAATGAGTCAATGAAACGTTGCTTGTCGAAAGTCGAAACAATTGACGTTCAATACGATAAGTCTGAAAAAAATCACCAGATGGCACATGCAATTGTATCTCTCGCGTAGTCTTTGAGAGCTATCTACTTCTAAACTATTTATAAGAACATGTTTATACTTAAAAATCAGGCACATTATAATTAATCATCGGAAATAAGAAGAAATTGGCAGAAATTGGTCAAAACGTGAGCACTGGAAAACTAATTTTTATAGAGAACTGAGCGAAATTTTCTTTCGAGAAAAAGGCGATCAAAACTTTCGCGGGTATTTTAGCGATGCCAGATTTTTCCACCTCCTACTTCTGTAAGCCTGTTCCTTACGCCTTTGCTAATTGCTGTTTGTGTTTTTTTATTAATCTTAAGGTGTGAAAATAATTTCATTTAATATCAAAGCAAAGAAAGTATATTATCAAATATTACTTTTGTATCCCGATACATATTTTATGTGTATCTATATAGGTGCCATGATAATGTGCCCTAATTATCACACATGCCGCTGCATCGGAAACGCATTGTGAAATTAGTATGGACAATGACGCGGTTGTTTAGAGCCTATATTCATTGTGTAAACTGGCTATATACGATGATGTGCATATTTTAAAATACATTTCGTTTAGCGTCTAGTTTATTCCAATTGAGTAACTGTTAATCGTATACATCTAATATCGTATGTATGGAAATGCACAAGTTTGCGCAAGGACACAACAGGACCATTTTCATACTAAAACAAGAAACCACCCGGTACTTTAATGAGTCGCGAAGAACTCGTATAAAAATCCCATTTACAATAAGCTTATGTTGGCCTAGGTTTACACTTTTGCCTTATTGTAGCGGCAGTTTGCGAACAAATTTACTGTTCCTATTCATTCGAATCGTTTGTGACGTTTAAACAACGCGTCATTTCAGCTGCGACTTATTTTCGCTCGTATATATTGCCCTAATGTGTATATACAACTTCAGTAGTTCCATTTGTTTTTGTACACGAAAAACTATATTGTGCGCGCGAGCGTATTTACCATGCATAAAAAACTCCAGTGTGCGGAGAAACAATAAATGTATATCGTTTAACACTACACAAACCTGATCGTAGTTTCCTCATCTTCGGAGGCTGAACCACAACAGCAAACCCAATGCCAGCAGAATTTTCTTCTTCTTTCAGCTTTAGCTTCCCAAATATTTTGAGCGAGAAATCCCCAAACATGGAAAATTTTTCCCATAGTAAGTTTTGTTGCCAGCCACACAAACATTGTTAAAACACTTTCAATCTACATACGAAACGAAGATCAATTTAATATAGGGATACCAATTACCATATTCTCAATGTTATTGAAAAATAAAAATCTCGTTGCTCGCTTTACTAACCTCAGTGTCAGACATATTTATATACGTGCCGAAAGGTCTACAAACTTTCCCACTTGCCAAATAGTGAACTTGCTAAGAGTCGAAGGAGAAAGAGAACGCAAGCATATGATAACTGTTATATATACCATATGAAGATCACATGACGGCATAAGGTTAATCACACTTAATTAATGACACTTAATTAATGACAAACCATCTATATGGAGTGTAATATAAGACGGAAGGTGTATGGTAGCATATGATGGCAGGAAGTGCAGAAGTATATAATGAGAATATTACTGTGAAACCTTGTAACGTGTGTAATACATACATATACACACATCAATCGTTTTATTTCGTTTCACTGTTTTGAGTACGTTTTGTATTTCAAAACAATGTTTGTGAATTGTGACATCCTCTAATAAAGGGAAAAAATGTCAAGTTTTTCAACGGCTATAAATAGACCACTTCAAAAATAGCGGCTATTAATCGCTATATAGATGTGTGACCATTATTAGAAGTATTAATAGTCACAAAAATGACAGTTGCCCTTGACAACTTGGCGTCAAGGGCAACTGTCATTTTTGTGACGTCACAAACATTGATCTCACTGCTGCAAAACTTAAGGGCCTAATTCCACGGGCGCTTTTTCTCCGCGAAATGCGAAATATTTCGCCTGTTTCTTTTGAATTTCGACCACATTTTAAATTTTGCCTGTTTCTTTTGAATTTCGACCACTTCATTGCTCACAATTCAAGCAGGCGAAATAGTTATAGTTAGTTAGTTAGTTAGTTAGTTAGTTAGTTAGTTAGTTAGTTATAATTAGTTATAGTTACGCTTGCCACGACTGGTACGACTGCTACGCTTGCTACGACTGCTACGCTTGCTACGACTGCTACGCTTGCTACGACTGCTACGCTTGCTACGACTGCTACGCTTGCTACGACTGCTACGCTTGCTACGACTGCTACGCTTGCTGCGACTGCTACGCTTGCTACGACTGCTACGCTTGCTACGCTTGCTACGACTGCTACGCTTGCTAGGCTTGCTATGGCAAGCCAAAGCTGACAAAAGTGTATCGAGTTGCAATTCACTATTCGAGAAATATAAATCAATAGTCTAGTTCCGTAATTCGATGGACCAGGGTAATATATCGACGGTTCAGACAAATAAATTGAAACACGAGTTAAAAAAATAAAGTGTCGAAAAACAAATCGACTGTCGAGAAAGCGATCAGCAGGCGAGAAAGATATCATTAGTCGAGAAGGATAATCATAATCCGAAAACAGCCGAAGCGTAAAGCGAGTTTTGCAAACGGTAAACATAAGACGAGAAGTGTGACTGTACATGTGGTCAGCGGTATCACCGAATGCTAGGCTTTATACTTCAAGTTACTTCAAGTAGTAAGTAGTTCGAAAGTTCAACATCAAACATGGCGTCGTCTTCAGATTCAGATATAATTAGGCAACTTGTAAACAGGATTGGAGAACTTTCTCAAGCAATTTCACCGCCTGATACAAGCAACAACGCAATAAACGGAGAGGTTCGTCGTATTTTTAATGAAGCAATGAACGAAGTATCTGGAGCTGTGCCAGTCACTAGGCCTGCCACAGTCACCACTAGGGGTG